TCCATTTTGCAAGTGGGATTGTTGGTTCTGTGGAAAACACAACTGGACATGTTTGATTTTGATTGCGAGACATAGACCATTTATTCACAATATCACTTGCAACTGTAAGAAATCTTGATAATGTGTGTCGTACTCTAAAAGTATGTTCGTCTTTGATGACTTTGTTCGTAGCTTCTAATTGATTGTTAGTGCTTGGTGTGAACGCACCATTATATCCTTCATACCACGAATCAAGAACTGTTAACCATTCGTTTTCGAAATATTCTGTAAATTCTTTTTCTGTTTTATTCCATTGCTTCAAGAATAAGGATGATGCATTCCGAAACACAGTTTCTGATTCGCATAATTGTAATGTCTCAATATCATCTAATATTTCTTTTGTTTTCTTCGAATCGATTTTCAAGCTCTTCAATTTTTTCTCAACATTGCGACGCATATGAGACCATGACCATTTTATCCTTATTGAAAAACTTTTGAAATGCATTACGTATAGCACCAGACCCATCAGCTATAAGTACTTCGGGTGTAAAGGCTGGTCCAGTTATTCGGTTTACACCGTCGGAAATACTTTTAAAAATAAATTCGAATTCTGGTTCTTTTTCATCAGTACGTACAGCCAATCCAAATGGATGAAATTTACGATCGCAATCACTTGTTCCAACAACTAATATTGGAAAACCCTGCCAGTTCAATTTGTACGTGGCATCAGCATGTAACTTGGTTGATATTGAAGTAATTTGGAGTAATTGTTTTGAAGAGAGAAAAAATCTGAACTTATTACCATCATCGACGACGTCTTCATCATCGTCGTCACTATCATCTTCGTAATGAATATGAAAAGAAACTACAAATGATTCATCGTCAGATTGTGGTATTGTATGTTTCTCTTGACACCAAGATTCTAATTCTCCTAAACTTAAGCTAGAAGGACCAAATTTTTGTTTACGTAATTGTGTTAAATAATTGTTCACTTGATTACGTGTTATCTTGAAATTTTTCTCTTCCAATACTTCATATATTTTCTTTGGCTTTAATCTCATATCAAACAGTTCCTGGATATTTTGTTTCATTTCTTCAGAGAAGAAATAACGTTTACTTGAATCAGTATGGTTATGCTCATTATTTGCACGAAATAATAAAGCTTCATCACTATTGTGTGGATAAAAGAGATAAATTGCGGCATTACATTGTGTGCCACGAAACTTAACTTTATTACAGCGGTAATGAACTTTAACTCCATCTTGAACTTTGTTAGTAAAATATCGACTCCATTGTTCTTCTCGTTTAATTGCTATTTGAGCGTCTGTATCATTAGAAAAGCATTTGTCTCTTATCCAGTCAAAGTTACGTTTAATTTTTGTCTTTTCTTGAACATTCTGCTGATCCATCGTATCGTCGGATTCCGATGAACTCTCATACTGTTGTGTTTGTACAAAATTTGGCATTGTAATATGTTTAAACTAAACTTCAATCGGCAGATATATATATATACAGACGATTAAAGAAGAAGAATTTTCTGGAAAATAGTGGAGATCATATGTGATCATCACAGGAAGAAAGAGAAAAATATACTTGAACATACTAGAAGTTGATGTTTACATCAAATCAGTCCTAACAGAACGAAAGAGAGAAAATGTACGACCTACACCCAGGCTGACAATCGTTTTCTTGTCATAGTCACTTTTACTTAGCAATATTTTTTCTTTATCCATATAATTTATTTTCTAACTTATCAATCTCATTTATCAACTGAGTAATTAAATATTTTACTTAGATATTAATTATTTAACTTAGCAAAAATTTTAGTCACCGAGAAATATTATTTCCACTAAGCATTTAATAAATTCACTGAGCATCTAATTTTTCTACACTCTAAAAAAAATAGGTATTATCGAAAACCCTTAGAGGGTTTCCGAGTTTGTTACTATAGGAAACCCTTTAAGGGTTTCCGAGACCTCGGAAATCCATAGTACCCATTATAGCTAAACCTCAAAAACCTCTTTGGAAACCCAAAGAAAAGGTTTCCGAATGCGGTTAAAGCTCTACCAAACTAGCCTAGACAGGAATCCATCACTTCTCTGTCAGCAGCAACAGGCATTCACAGCGGCCACAGACATTCAATGAGGTTCTGCTGTGAATCTATTCGCACCAAGAAATAACTAGAACACAATTAAAGGTCAGCAACACACGAAATTTAAAGAAAAACTTTAATTATCCAGATGCACTTCGTCGCACCATTACCAAACCATCAAGAAGCTAAATATAACGGCCTTCTCCACCTAAAAAATGAACAAAAGAAACAATTTTTCATCGAAAATCATCTAAACTTACCCGTTTTCTTCACATTCAACCACATCAAAACTAATGAGCACCCTTTCGCATGTAAAACATAATTCAACCAAAATAGTTAATGAACGAATTTCATAGCTCATCAAACATTACCCTACGACAATCATCTAAAAATAAAAAGAAAATTATATTTTAATTTACTAAATTGATTCAAACTCACCCGACCTATTGCGAGAAAACAATTCTAAGGATGAAAATAAAATTTCATTTTCGTACAATAATTTGAACAAACTTTCCATATATACTAAGATATAAAACGAATCTACAAATAAAAATGAAACTGTTTTTTAATTTAAAGAATTTTTGTCCAACTCACCAGATCTATGAATATAAAACGAATCTAAAAATGAAAATAGAATTGTATTTTTATTTAATGCATTGATTCAGACTCACAGAATATATCGATATCACACGAGTCTAAAAATAAAAATGAAACTTTAATTTAGAAAATTGATTCAAACTTACCAATTCGATCGATATTAAATGAATCTAAAAATAAAAATAAAATCTCATGTTCATGTTGTAATTGGAGTAAACTCACCAGATATATTGAGATATAAAACGAATCTAAACGTAAAAGCGAAACTTCATTTCCATTTAGTAATTGAAATAAACTTACATGATGTATTGAAATATAAAACGAAGATAAAAATAAAATAAAATATTATTTTAATTTAATAAATTGATTGAAACTTACCGGATCTACCAATATCGCATGAATCCAAAAACTGAAAATAAAACTGTATTTTTATTTTATTCATCGATTTAAACTCCCTGAATCTTTTGACAGACAGCGAATCTGAAAGTAAAAATGAACTTTCATTCTTATTTAGTAATTGCAATGAACTCACCCGACATATTGAGTTATAAAATGAATCTAAAATCAAAAACAAAATTTCATTTTAATTTGATAAATTGATTCAAACTCACTAGATCTATCGATATCCCACGAATCTAAAAATAAAAATAGAATTTCATTTTCATTTAGTAATTGGAATAAACTCACCGGATATATTAATAAATACGGATCGAATCTCCAAACAAAAGTTAAAGATTGCATTTTTATTTAATAAATTGAATTAACTCACGCTTTTTTTTCGATTTTCGAAACAAATCGATGAATTAAAATGAAATTGTATTTTAATTTAATATTTGGAATAAACTTACGGTATATATGGCTATCTAAAACGAGTCTAAAAATTAAAAGTGAAAAAATGTTTTAATTTAATTAGTTGATTAGAACTCACCGAATTCCAGAGCCATGTTATGATAGAAAAAGAAAAATTAGGAAAGTGTTGTATTCATGAAATTAAATAAACACCTGAATAGATAGAGAAAATGTAGTATTGAAAAGTATAAATGATAAGTTAGAAATATTTTATGAAATCATTTAAAATAACTCATCTACCTGTTGAGATGATTACATATGTAAGAAAAAAAAAACATTTCATGTAACATCGAATGAATTATAGAATTCATCGAGATGAATTTACGACCGAAATCATAAGAATAGTAAGCTTTCGAACGAGGTATGAAATGAAGGTACGACATTTCCTAAAGTGAAGCAGATTTTCGAGTTGATCATTAATATGATCTTAGATTATTGAAATCGAAGAGAATGGGACGGCTACTCAGATAGAGTTGATTGATAAAGCGGAGGAATTAATGTAGACGCTTTTGATCAATATAATATGTTTCATCAGTATTTTGCTCAAGTGAAAATGCTTCTATATAAGAAAATCTTTGCTTTTGAGCGTGCTTGTAGGGAAGTATCGTTAGTGAAGCGTTTTCTACTCATTATAGAGACGTTATTCGATAGATATGCAATCAGAAATAAAAGAATCAGCTTGCATAGCTATTCGGATGTTTTGTTCGATAGTTGAGGACCCTGATATCATTCAAATCGAAAAGGCTTAGAAAATAAGCAACCATTTGTGAATATGTAGTGTGAAATATGCTCATTGGATTCCACGTGAGTAGACTACTAAAATTCATCTCTAAAAAAGTATTCTAACTATTCTTTCTTCTAGTATTAAGGCATCTTTATATTCATATATAATAATAGCATCAAATTCGGTAATAAAATAGACGTCCCAAAGCCTTTTGTTAAATAATATTTAGAACAAATATAAAAAGCACGCTTAAATGGTCAACCTGTAGCTAAATTTCTCTTATACTGACAGTAAAAATAAAATTTGTTCTTGAGCTAAGTCTTCAATGAATGCAATGTAAATATAAGCAATTTCATCTCCCTTCCAAAACGTAATATTTTAGTAAAACTTCTAATAAACTATTCTCTAACGGAGAAATTATAAACAAGATTGTAACATGATTAACGATCTTCTCTACATTTAGAAATTAGTGTTTTTTCAATATAATATTTTATTAATATTAGAAAATATGAAATAACCATTGTTTTCCTTATTTTGCTTCGTCTGTCGGTTGCCCTCGACCAATCTCAAAATTAGTACGACACAACCTAATGAAGTTAAAGCAAATCATAATTAAACATAAGAGAAATTGCATTGATTTGTACTTTACACATTGAACCCTTCTTTTTATTCGATTATAGAACAAAGCTAGAAAGTGACTGAAGACAAGACAAAAGTATCAGATCCATGATTTATGTTCTTGTGAAAGTTATATGAAAACATATTGTTCATATGTCTTATAAATGACATTAATTTGTTAACATGTGGACTTAAGTTGCAGTTTTCTGTTTGTTTTAAAAGCCTATAATCTTTAGAAATAAACCAACTGTAATTCTCACTTAAGAATAGAAATTTCTGCAATTCATTCCTCCTGTAATTTTTGACATCCACGATAGCTACAATATAATTCTTACTTTAGCGAAACTCAACCAAAAACGGAAGAAAAAAGACATGGTAATTGTCTAATCTATTTATTTTGTTCCCGATTTGTTAATATTGTATTCTCTTTTATATTCCGAAGAATAAGATCAACAGTAAAACGCACAAATAACATTTCATTATTTATGAAGCATGATCTGGCTTCATATTTCATGGAACTGTTTACACAGGAACAATTTTGAATAATTCAATACGCAATTATTAATTAGATCGGTGTTTTGCTGTCTCATAAAAATGTTCAAAGCTGAGCATGAGAAAGAATATGAAAAAAATAAGGTTCAAATCCACATCTATCCTTTTGCGAAGTTTTTGAGATGTCAATCAGAAAATTGATGAAGATATCAGAAAAGTTGAAAGCCTTAGGAACTCTGTTAAGTGTTAACACAAAATTCGCAAACCTATTTTGATTTCCAATGATTCTATTTTTAGATTGGGTATTTTCGCAAACCCAACTCGGTATTCTATGATACCCTTTTTCAGATTGGGTATTT